TACACACAAATGTAGTTATAACCCTACAGTGAAAACTCAGCAGGACTGTGCTTTTTAATGTATAGCTTAAAAGTTTCTTAGTTTCTAAGCAAAGACCTTATTCTTGATATCATCATGTATACCAGACATAATTCTGATGATCTTTTTTTCAGTTAGCTCATAAGGACATGAAAAGCAGACTTTAAACAACCATGTTAAGTCTTTGACGGTGGTCAATAGTAGGAGAGAAGTACTGCCTGTCTATTTTGTTAAGAAGTACAGATGTTAGATGCTGTCTGATTATACATTTGGTATAACATACCAGAAAAACAATTTCACAATTTCATTTTTATTATTTCTGATAATTTCACTTAAATTGTTATTGCATCTTCATGAAACCTGTCTTATCTGTGAGTTTTGGTTTGGTTTGTTCAGGACGTGCAGGAGGTGCTTTAAATTTAAGTTTTTTATTTATATGGATGCAAGAATTTCTGCCACTTTTTTTGTTTTAAGTCAGCATTTCATGTCTGTTATTGCAGCAGGATACTTAAGGATACTATTCTAAAGGACCTAGAGGACTCGTAACAATACCTATTATCTGTTCTTGTTGTCTTAATGTTTTGAAAGTCAGGACAACAGGATTCATGGTTTTGGAGCACCTCAGGTCATCAGAGCTGAATTTATTGACATGGTGCTGTGAGTCTTCCTCAGAAGTTTGGAGGAAAAAAGAAATAAATTGCTGTCTTGTCCACACCAGAAATGAGCAAGTTTTACAAATGACTTGCAGAAGACACTAATTGCATTGCCTTATTAAGGTCTAGCAGAGTCATAACAGCAACACAACAAAAGTTCCAAAACCCCATAAAATTCTTTGAATACAGTATAACATATCTTATGGTGTGAAATATGAATAAACCCTGTTTCTTTTAATTGGCTGGATTTAACTGGCAGTTTTGTCGTCAGATTCCCTAAGGAGCATTTTTTCTTCCCCTTTCTGTAACCCACAGCTGCTGCCCTCGCATGAGGTGAAAGTGCAAAGCCTTCCCTTATGTGATGTAGCTCCTCAGACTGTCAAAAAGCCTGGGCTCCTTCTAGAAGAAGGTTGTGTCTACATCTCACAAACTTTTTTGGAAGCAGGTTAATGTTGACTGTAACTTCGTGGCCATACTGAACATGGTGGTTTCTATAGAATGGGTACTGCAGGGGAAGGTGAAGAGGGAGCTGCTCTGGGAAATGGGCAGCTTTGGCACATCTCAGAGCTCCCACATCCCAGCCTTGCTGAAGTTAACACTGCTGTGGGTAACTTCTTTTTCAGTCTAAAGGATACCTGCCCTTATGCTTAGTGGGAGCTGAAAAATATAAGACATCACCAAGCACTAGGTAGACTGCAAATCCCAGGCTTGAGAGAATAACTGGGAAACCTTGTATTTGTGCTCAAAATTTGGAAATGACAGTGAAGCACGGAAAGAGAATGGCATGAGGATCTTTCAGGCACAGATATCAGAATTGTGAATAGAAAAATGGTGCCCTTTTTTATCTGACTATTGAGAGGAAGAAAAGTGGTTTTGGCATTTCATCTTCTCTCATAATGTCTTCCTTTTGATGGAAATAGCCTTTGCAACCTTAAATGTTGGCATAACATTGAAAGCATATTATACATGTGTTAGGGAAATGGAATGTTTTTTTACAGCTGAAGACTTTTCCTTTCTTTCACATCTACAAGTTCCTTGTTTTCTCCTCTGTTTTCTCCTTGAATTCGTTGACATGGATTTTCTTCCAGACTACAGCGCTTCAGACCAGAGTCTCTTGCTGATGTGTGCTGTAGATATGTGAAAGGTTACACCTTCATTTATGAATAATGGGAATCTACTGAGACTTCGCCCACATGCTGAGTTTTATGTGGATGTACCAAAAAGGGGAACAACCCATCAAAGTCAGCAAATTTCTTCTTAACTGCCATGTCCTTTGACTAAATGGGATCTGAGCTGGTACAGCAATGGGTGCCTGACTCATGGACTTTAGCAGACAATAAGAAAAGCTTGTGCCACACAGCCAGTTTATGTGTGTGCTCAATTGGCCTTTAAATCGCATTTTCCTCTAAATGAACTAAATAGATGCAAGAAACTGATCCATCTTACCAGTATGTTCAAGAAGCTTAAAAAAACTAAAATCTTATTATGGTTTAGTATTTGATCTTCTTTCTAGATCTCTTTGGCTCTTTACACAGCTATCTTGATTGAGTTGTTGGTATTGATATCAAGATTATTTTTACTGACTTGTTATAGCTAATGCTCTGTGCATCTGTGTGTTGTATGGAGTTGAACTTGGAGACATGATGCTGTGTTTACTCCCCACTCTTCTCTCCAGTGCAATCTGCAACCATCACTGAATGGTCTGGGTGGCACTGCAAATGTGTAACTCTTTGTCTTTTTGGCAGTAAAACGAAGTATTCCCTCGGATTAGGGATGGCAGGGGTTATATAATTCAAATAGATGGGTCTTTGAGGGCTCTTTGAGGTTTTTTGCTGTTTGTTTTTTTGGCTGGTTGGCTGGTTTGTTGTGAGGTATATTTTTCCATCTGAAGGAGACAAATGGCTCCTCCCAAAATAATGCTGTTTTATAGCTTCATGACTCAGTAAACATGCTGTGCGTGAGCAGAGTAAGGTTACAATGGAGACAAAGAAGGAAATAGCTGTGTGAGACAGGACTGTGACTGAGCACATTAAAGTGGCAATCTACAAAAGCTGAGTGGTTAAAGCTCTGTGAATAGTTGTCTCCTTGCTGAGGAAGTACTTCTTGGGATGCAGTTCCTTACTGCAGCTAAGCATAGAGAGACCAGCTTGGTTCATCTGAATTGGTATTTGTTTCACCTCATGAGAAGTCATTTTAGGGACTTAAACTGTGAGAAAACGAAATGAAAAGAATAATTTAGAACTTTGTCACTGCAGATCCTTGTAACTTGCTGTAGGATTCCTAGTACCAGCGAGAAAGGGGTGTAATTAAGTCAGACATGTGACAGCAGAGAAAGAGGGATGCTGAAATTTTGCCTTAGCTAGCTATTGGATTGATTCCACTGTAGAATCAAAAGTCTCAAGAACTGAGAGACAAGGAAAAATGTAACTTGAGATTTTGAGATTTTTTTCCAGTTTCAAGATTTTGATCTCATTTCTGCCTCAGGTTAGCTAGAGGAGGTGTAGCCAGAAACAGGCTACATATATTTGTACCTAAATCTCAAAACTGTGTGTGTGCACTGAGATTTATGTGTAGAGCCAAAACCTTCCTTGATTGTGGAGAACAACATTACAGCTGAACAGAACTGTTCTTTTAGTTAAGCAGCCTTGCATGTGAGCATTTCTGAGGATAAAGTTTATGTGGAGTTGTGTCTCTTTTCAAACAAGCTTATATTTCATTGTAAAATATTACAGCATGTGTTTAATATGACTTCCCAACAGCAATGAGTCCATCTAAAACTAGTAAAATATTTAATCTCATGCAGTGTGGAGACCAGAGGAATTTTTGGATCTTGTTTGGAGAGCAGGGAATTATTTTATGTTAGGTAAGGTAAATGAAGATAAATGAAACTTGGAGCGTTTTTGTTGCCGTGGCAAGTGTGAAGGGACTGGTGAATGGGAGAGTTGCCATGATTCCCTGATTATTAGCCATCCTAACTGCAAGAAAATTTTATTTTCTCAAGTGACTGAATGTAGTCCAGCATGCCCAAATCTAACCTGCTATAAACCCCTCCACTTTTTGGAATTGAAAACACCATGTAGTAATTTGCAGCCTGTGCACTACATCACTTCCATCAGGAAAGTTGGTGAAGGTACAGGATGCAAACTTAAAGGCTGCAGAGCTGCTCACTGATGCTACATCAAACATCTGTGCTTTGTTTGCATAGGAGGGATTTCCAAGTGATTTCAGGATCTAATGGGGTTTATTTTCCTTTGTGTATATTAATTTATCACGAAAAAAGGACATGAACATGTCTATGTGGATAAATTGTCACTTCCTGCACAACTTTGCCTTCTTTTGAGGCTGCAAAGTACAAACAGAACTTCACTGCACCTTGCACCTACTGTTAACTATCTGTGTCCCATGAAATCTGGTGAGCTTGAAAAGACAGCAGCCCTGACCATTTTGTGCCTGTTTTACATGGGGAAATGGTAGTGTGTGAGTACTTCTACTGATGTTGGGAGCAGAATACAGTACTGAAGCTATATATTTTTTTCCCTCAGCACTGCATTGTCATTCATGGTAGGGCTGGCGTTGATGCAGTTATATCAGGGACGTAGAGTTTTTGACAACCTACAAGATATATTAAAAAATGCCAAGGTGATGTGGCAGCATAAGCAGGTCAGAAAGTTTGAGAGTTATAGGACAACCTACTAAAGAAGGTATTGAGACTATAACTGGCTGTTGGGACCCACTTTTCACTGTGTTCTCTTGGAATGAGGATTTGGGCAGCCAGTGGTAATATCCCTACCTCATGCTCACCCCAGCTGAGGTGTGACTTCTGTATGTAGCAGTCATGGTGTTCTTATGACAGGAGCTGCTGGGCTGTGTCTGCTTTGTTTTCAGACATGAGCTGATGATAACTGCCTTCATCCCTTCCTTCATGCCCTCTCCTGTGGGAGGACAGCCTTAAATAATGTCACATGTAGTATTTTATTCAATTAAGCTGTTTGTCTTGCTGGAGAGGAAAAATAAATGAAGAGACATAAAGGTGTTTTGCAGCACCAGCAAGCCCCCACTGACTTCTGCTTTCAGCCTTCAGTTAGGAAGCACCTCCTACTGACTGCTGGCTGTTACATTACACATTTGATATCTGCTTTTTAACTCTGTATGTATTGATCGCTGCTTTTGTAGATATTCTTTATGGAGAAACAAAGACAGCAGGCCTTGAATTTCTATAGCAAGAACTTTCCCTTGTGTTGTGTTTTTCCATGTATTTCTCTTTCCCTCCTGCCTGCATTTCCATAGAAGAAAGATGTGATGGTGATGATACAATCTTTTCTTTTATAGAAAAAACCTGAAATCATTTTTTGCGAGACACAAGATGTTGCAGTGGACGAGTTCTTATGTTTTGCCAGACTTCCCTTATGATGTCAAGTGCATATTAGCAGAAAAAAAATGCCCTGATCACAGTATGAGGATAAGAATTATTGAATTTTTACAAGCAGACATGACAAAATACCTGGAAGGATCACTGTAAGTAAACACTATTCAATTTCTTGGGGGCATTACCTGTTTTCTGCAGACATAAATTTTAAAATTGATGTAAAGCTATTCTCTAATATATTTGCTTAAAAAGAGGCTAAGGCCTGACACCTACTGAAACCAATAGAAAGATTTCTTGCAAGCCTTTAAGCTGTGCCCTTTGTTATTTGGAGGGCAATTGGTTGCCTGAGAAATAGTCAGAAGTAATTTAATCTAGATCAGTATAGACTCCAGTGTTTAATACTGTCTAGAAAACCAAGTATTTCTTTTCTATCTCCATCTTGTTTGCATAGGTATCCGAACAGTCAGCAATATAACATTGTTGTCAATGCTCTGCTCCAGGCATACCCATTCCTTGATGAAGATGGGAATGGCTTTGTAAGTATTGTGGGCTTTCCCCACATAATTAATCACAAGAAAATAATCTAGTTCATAGGAAATCGATATCAATTTCTTATATGCTGGTTCTATTCAGAGCGCACGCACTTGGCTCTGTTTGGCAGATCACATTTTTATTTCATTATGTCAATTAAAGATTAATGCAGGTATAGCTGTACCTGCTGCCATGCAGACCTGTCTGTAGATTAAAACCCTGGTTGCTTGTTAGGTATATTTTCTTTCTGGGCTGATTTCTGCCCAGGGATACAATTAAATCTGGTTTTTTTTTTTTCTATTTTTAAAAACAAAGAAGTCAGCTCTTTTTTGGGAAATTGTCTGTATGATGACTAACATGTGACCGATGCTCTTGCAATGTATTATGATTGTTTGTGTGTTAGATATGAAACATGCAGTAATACTAGTGGTTTAAAGAATCTAGGTCTAATTTAAAAAAAACAAAACCATTTAAAAACAAATTTTGGAATATCATTGGGGGAAATAGCAGAAAGCAGTGGAAGGAGATGATTTAAATCTGAACTACATTTTTTTCACTTGTGATCCAGAATATCCGTCTGTGGTCTTGGACAACAGTGGTCACCTTTTCACTTCACATCATTGCTTTGCCATGTGATACTTTTATACCGTCTTGTAAAAGTTTGTGGGCCTCAGTGGGGACTGTTATCTTTAAACATATATAAATATCTATCTCACATGCCATTACTGTAGAAAACAAAATAATTTCGGGAATAAAAAAAGAGTTGAGGCTTAAGGGTTACTATTCTAGTTCTGCCCTGAGCCCAGGCATTGTTGAAGGGAAGGGACTGAAGAAAACAAACACATCTCAAAGAGAAGAGAGGGAGCAAAAGGACCAGAGAGAAACAGTTTGTACTCACTTTTAGTCAGGATACCTCTCTGAATACCCCAATGGTGGTCCTTGGGTCCTGAGTAATGTGTGGCTTCATCTGGCTCCCTCTATGATGAGGAGCTGAAATGATATTCAGCTTGTTCTGAAGAGAATTTTACAGACTTTTTTTAAAACTGTTTTTAAACAGAGATTCTTAACGTAGGTTTTTAAAGGGCTTTAATTGCAGAAGGACCATAGGCTAAGTGAAACTACTTATAACTCTGTTCTTTGGGAAATAGTCTTTACTTACCACATGGATGACTGAACTGGTGCTGGCAGAAGTTATGTGATGGGGCAGAGATTTCAGAGTGGTTGTTATTTATTTTTTGATCTTTTCCCCCATTCTTACTAGAAAGCATTCTGGCAATAACTGCAATAAATAAACAAGGAAGCTGGAATTAGCAGTTTGCAATATTGCTAGTCTACCACTTTCTGATCCAGCCCCTCTCTATTGCCTGTGTTGCAAGAGGAAAAGTTGCACAAAAGGTGTATGCCTACATTCTTAAGTTTGGAGGAGGGTGTGAGAATGAATTAGTATTTTTTATTTGGCTTACTGTTAGACATTCCGTTCTGCCTTCTTGATCATAAATGCTATAAATACATATTTTTTCTTGATCTGAGAAAGTTGTGCGTTACAACAGTAACGGCTTAAAACAAACCCTACAATATATGCATAGCTACTTATCACAAAACTTGCAGTAAAATTGAATTCATATACCTTTGAGAAGCAAATGAACAGCAAAAAGAAATTGACAACAAATATTCTTTTTCTTATCCTTGAAAAGATCTTCAGCAATTTAAAAAAAGCAAAATTTTTGTAGACTTTTATTTTAAAATTACTCTAGCTGTTAAGGGACTATAATTATTCCTTGCTGTTCCTTATAATAGTATTAAAATATAAGATGTAAAATATTGATTACTGAGAGGTTTTGAATACCTTTAAGTTGTTTATCTATAGTAATCAAACAGTTGCTGTTATTATTACAGTTTTTAAAATAGTATATTGAAAACATTGAAGAAATAGACTATCAATAAAATTCAGAGGAAAAGGAGACTGATAGGTAAATGTAGAAAAGGAAAACTAGCATGAGAGTAGTCTTTCAAGCAAAAATGCTAGTTACGTTCTTTGTTAAACAGCATTTATATGTAAACTTCTGTAGAGGCAGTTCATTTAATGTGGTTTTGGTGTTGACATTGGGAAGGGAGGAATAGCACTCCAAGTTCTTATTTCTCTGTGGACTCCAAAGACAGCCTCAGGTGGCGAGCTGTGCACAAATGTCAGTGTTTGATAGACAGCCACCACCTTTTTGTGTCTTGTAAGGCTGGAGAATGGGAGACACCAAACATGGCAATTCAGCTGGGCTGGTTTCTGAGAATAATGGTTTCCAGTAGTGGTAGCACAATAAAGTTATTTGGGACTATTTAGAATACCAAAAAGTCTGTTTTCAATTATTGGACTTTCTATTTCTTTTCAAAGTTGTTGGAAAAATAACTTGTGGCATGCATTTTAAAAACCAAAAGGCCTAAGTGCAGTTTGGAGTACCAAGGTCTGTGTTCCCTCAGGTGTGCTGGAGCTCACTTCAGCTATTGAGTATTATCTTTCTGCCGTGTAAAATGCTCTATACCACTGTGTTGTTAATGACATTCATTTACTGCTTGTTATTTATTGCTGTGCTGTATCTCAGTTCCTAGATTCATTTTAACTCTAAAGTTATGCTTAAAAGGAAAGCAGTTTCTCAGCCTCTGGGGTGGATGAGCAGCCACAGCATTTGCTGGGCTCTGCAAAAGGCTGCAGTAGTTCTTAAAGAGATGTCCTGAGAAGGTCTGCCAGCGGTGGGTGTGATTTTAACCTCAACTCACATGTCTTGCATTTTAAAGCCCTTCACCAGAAATCCATGTGTTCTGGCTGCCAGAAGGGTGCAGCAGGAACTGTTCTGGGTTCCTCCCTGGCCAGTGTGCATGCCTGTGTGTCTGGGCAGGGGCAGGCAGTTGGGCTTCCTGGATGAGGAAAGGGAAAACTCACCCCATGAGAGATCTTAGGATTCTGGAATTCACATTTTCATCTGGCCAAGCGCAGAAAACCAGAATGTAAAGAACTTGATGTTATTGATGTACATGGATGGAGAAACTTTGAACTGTAAGTCAGCACTTTAATTGCAACATTTTTGCAGAAATTTAGTGACATGAACTGGAAAAGGGAAAGATTTCTGGCAAACATAGAGGAACAACAACGAAAACCAAACATAAGAGCACCTAAATTACCACAGGATTTTTGTGACAGGAAAAAAATTACTTGCAAAACTTTAGGCATTCCAGGTTTTGTGTGGTTTGTTTCTAAAATACTGGACTTTTGTTTCCTAACATACTTATTTACACCTCCAAATTATTTTAAACAAATAATTTAAACAATGTGTATGTTATGTAGAACTATAGTCTAATATTTTCAATCTCATACTGTTGCAATTAGAGGTTATTAAAAGTTTGTGGTTTCAAGATTTATTAGTAGATTATTCACAATTCTGTTTTCTCAGTTAAAAATTTTTCCATTTAGTTTTACAGTGTGAAAAATAAAATACTCTTCTGTGCCGTCAGTCCTTTTCAAAGAATATCCAATTCGGTATCGTCAGGACAATGGTTATGACCCTAAATAAATTAATTTACAAATAAAGTAATGAATAAGCCACTTATATACTATGAATTTGAAAATAATGTTATTTATGAGGTCAGTCTAGAAGCAGGGATTAAGAATTATCTAAAATTCTAAATAATGATTTAGAAAAAATTTTCTACTAATAGTAAAACTCATTTAAGAAGTGGGGTACCTGGAACAAAATTAATTCCAAGATTAACTTTTGGTAAGAGTATTTTAAAGTGACTACATAAGGAAGTTTTGCCATGGTATTTCCTTCTATTTACAGAACAATGCTATCCTAAACTAACATATGACATTTAAAAAAATAAAAGTCTTAATTTAATCATGGAATAGTTTATTAGATTTGTAATGTGTATTGTAACCAGTACAGCATTTGTGAGTTACAGACAAATAGCTTATATGGAAAAAGTGAAGGTCATAAACACAGCAGTTAAAAGCAAATTGGCATTACACTGTTTCTTGACAGCTTGCAAGATGTTCTATCTATCTGTGCTTGTCCATTTTACAAAGCTTAAACCCAGCAATTTGGAAAGAGTAATTTCCCTTATTCCATTTTATTTCAGCCAACCTTTTGAAAATTTTATGTTTCCAAGAAAACATGACAGGAGGAAGGGAGAGAGAAGGCTCTGTGCTCCACACCACTTGCCCTTTTGAGTAGGCTTTGCATAAGCAGCTCCCTTGAGCTCATGGCTGTGGAGTGGTGCCTGTGAAACTCAGGATGCTGATGTTGAGATGCTTAATTTATGTAACTGCTGTGCACAAAGTGATTATTTGCTAGTAAATTACTGATTTCAATCTGCATGTAATCCTTTCCCTCCTATGTCAGTCACAGGCTAATCCTCCTACTCCTTTACTAGGAAGGTAAACCTTCCTGGGGTGGTATTTGGGCAAAGCTGGGGAGAGCAGGAAAATTATAAGCAAATAAAGTTGTTGGTTCAAAAATGGTAACAAAAGCATCTTTTTTAGTGCACACATTACCCACAAGGGAAACCATATAAATGTATGTGCCTGCAGTCTCATTCTGGAAATAGGTATGTGAGAGGGGACTTGCCTAAGTTTATGACAATCCTATCATAAAAATAGATTTATTTAAAATTCTTAATTTATTGGGGGGACTGGGGAATGAAACAGTTGAAAGTTTTGAAGTTTGTGGGATATTTAAAGCCTTGTATGGGTGTCAGCATATTCTTTCAGGTGAAAGAATAAGCAAAAATATCTTCTAGCCAAATAAAGATTTTCAAAAGAAAGAAACTATGTGAAGCTCAGCTACAGAGATGCTTAAATTGTCAGCTGCTAATATATTCTGGTATGATCATGTTTTAAAATATTGTAACATCTGTTAAACACTTCAAAGCAGCATTAAACTAAGGACTTTGTTTGCTTTTCTTAGCAGCCTTAAAATAGCAAGCTAAGGATAAATTTTGCTAAGCATACAATGATGAGGTATTTGCATCAAAATGTGTAAGGCCAGAATTATAAATGTATTTAGGGACCTTAATGGTTCAGGTGAAAAACAAGTGGGATTTTCAAGGCATGTAGTCATCTTACTGCTTCTGAAAATGGTGCTGAGGTGTAACACTCGTCTTGAGGCAGTGACTGTGCCTTGTGAGGAGACTGGGTGAGCAGTTGTACTCTATTTTCAGTCATTATCTTTAGGTTAGTGGTGATGTGACTTCTGTTCTGGCAGAACCCTAAGCCTGAAGTTTGCATACTAGAAATGCAGATGGGTTTGCTTTCTTTCCAGTTCTTGGGTGTTGAAGTGTGACTGGCTGTGAAAAGGTACTTTGGTAAGGGCACGTAGGAGGTTGGCAGAGTGTCCCCCTAGGCGGGGCACTCCTGCCCTGGTAGGCTCTGGGCTGCTCAAGAAGAGCTGAAGTAGAGATCACAGGGATTGTAGTCTCTTAGCTCTTCCATCCTTATTTTTCACCATTAATGGAGGTCTTGCTTTTAGGATTGAGGGGCCTGTAGGTCAGCTAGAACCTAGGGAGTGGGAGCAATAAACTCAGCAGGAGAAATGCAAGGTCACTTGCATTCACCACCTTCACCACCATCTCTTAAGAGCCCTCCTGTGAGTGAGAAAGGCAGGCATGTCAGCCTCACTGCAAAGAGAGATCTGTACTACTTAGTCTCCTTCTACTGAAATCTGGTTTGCACCAAGTTAACCTTTCAAATCATGTAACCTTGATTAATAAATGACACCATTTTGGTAAGAAATTTAGGGTAATCATTCTTCTGTTTGTATTGTGTTTTAGCATGTCAGTGGGTACAGGCTTGAATATAGTATTAAGTGAGTATAATATTGGAGTCATTTTTAGAAAATGAAGTAACAGATATTTTAATCTCTCCACATCCTTTCATTTGCAGTCACTTTTCTGACTGATTTTTTCCCTGTGACTCTTGAATACTCCCCAGTAACTGGAATACATAAGGGATTTTGAGGAATGACAAAACTGTTCAAAACTGCAGGTTGTGCCTGCAGATGTGTTGAACAGCCTTTGCTTAGAAATTGTTTCCCAGGGTGTCAATGGCATGGCTAGCTCCTTGCCATGGGCCATCCAGCTTTGGGCCACATGCAAATGGCCATTGGTCCTTAAGGATGCATGAGCAAGTTGCTGTCCATACAACTTTTAGCAGTGACTTTTCAATAACTGAATAAAGAAATACACAAGGGTTACAGAAGTGCTGGGGCCATGTAAGCTCTGCCTTTGGCTGCCAAGGAGTGATGAATGGCTGCATTAAACAGGACCTGCATCTGCTTGTAATGCAGAAATGCCTTTAAGTTGCACTTTACATACCTTGAGGTGTCTTACAAAGGCTAGGACCTACTTAAATGATTCTCTTAATTCAGCAGTTTTGAGTTCAGTTGAAAAATACCCTTGATCCAGTATAACTGTAGGCTCCCAGCAAAAGGTAGTGCCATCCTTGTCTTTCCTACTCCCTTCTGTTAGACACAATAATCATACAACTGTGCAACCAGTTAAGATACTGCCAGAGGCAAAGGAAAAATAATATACTAAACTGAGAAAAAAACCCAAAACAAGTCACCAACCCCCCATCCCCCTGAAAACCCTACAGCACAGTTTCTGTGGCATCTGTGAGCTGATCTGCTTCACTGCGTAGTTTCACCACCCAATGTCATGAGTGGAGCATAAAGTAAGAGCTGAGGAATGGACAATAGTGCAGTTTATCTGGTAGCCTAGATAGATTCTCTAGCCCTTAGATTCAATTACTGTTATCCTCAGCAAGCCACAGCAGTGCCATTAGCCCAGCTGTTGGGTGCTGTAGAGCTACCACAGGTGCTTTTGTTTCCTTCCATCCTGAAGCCAACAGTGGTGCTGCCCTATGAGCCTTTTTCTGTTTAATGGCAAACACTTTTTTTTCGAGTTAGTTAAAAAAAAAAGACCTGCTTTAGGCTGGGGCAAATTCTTGACAGATATTTGTAATGACAGCTGTTTTTTCCCCCCATGTAGTTGCTGTGGAAACGGGCCCTTAAAGATCGTTTCAAATACGTGCGGAGACCCATTGAAGATGATGAGCAAGTCCTGAGGAACAAATGCAAGTTTGGCCACAGGAGAGGACAGAGCAGAAAATCTTCTTTTGTTGAAAATACTCTTGATGATGTCCAGGGGCAGGTAGAGGTAAGATTTTTGGTGCTTGACTGAGTTCAGTCTTTCAGCTCCTCTGTTGACAATAAGGCCACCAGCCAGTAAAGGGGAGAAATTATCTCATCTCATTTAAACTAATTTTGTATAGAGTTTGTATTGCCAGACTCTTGACTTTTTAGGTATTAATAACAGAGGAAACCTGATCTAGGACACCTTGCACATTTGTTCGCATTTAGAGTTGTAAATTGGACAGAAAATAGTCTGATTTTTTAAATGCAGTATTTCTATTCTGCTTTTGATTATGTATCTCCAATTAGAGTGAAAAACAATAGAGAACTATGTCTACTAGCTGAAGTCTCTGTACAAATAAGAATGCTAAGAGCTATTTGAGCTGGTAGCAAAAATCCTACTGTCACATTTGTTATATAAAATCTGCTTGTGTAGATGTGTGATGTACACAGAGATATTTACAAATCTGTGCATGCAGTTGCTGTGTAATCCTTTAGTTGGAGAATTCAGAGCATTATCACTGTCCAGTAAGTGTCTGAAGCGTACTAATTAATTTATACACTTTCATTAATTCATTAAGGTTCCAGCTTTGCCAATACTGCACACACCTCTTCATGCTGCAATTAAAACATGGTAAAATTTAAACAATTGTATAAATGTGATAAAGAAGATATGTAAGTAGATATTTAGCTTATCCATGTTCATTCTGATGTTTACCAGACCCTGTATTAAGGAAACAAGAGTGGTTTATTGGATGCATTTCTGCATATATTACCCTTGTGATTGATAGTAGCTTTAGTTTCCTATACAAAATGCAAATATACATGTGGGTTGGTTTTTAGAAATTTCAGTAATTTATGTTTATTGCCTTTGGATTAATATGTTCGGGAATAAACACACCCCTTCTTGCCTACTTTAGCTGAAGGGTTTGCAGCATGTGTGAAGTAAGAAACCTGTGACTTTGGTGCAAAATAATAAACAGTCTCACTTTCAGTAATGAAGAAGTTATAAGCTCCAGGTTTTGTGTGCACATTAAGAGTTTGCCATCCTTTATCTGCTGAAGCTTGGAAAGGACACATGTGGGTCATTTCTGTCTTATGAGCCCATTGAGAAGGGCTTTGGAGTGATCCTGTAGAGACTGCATGCTAAACTTCATTTATCTGTAGAGAGGGTGTAACTGCACTGTGCTGTGTTTCTGCAGACCAGGAATCACCATAATTACCACTCACTTTAATTGCATTGTCTGAGGCCACCACTGGTCATCCTTGTTTGATTTAGAAAGTAAAGACAAATATTGCCTCTCTAAAGGCCTAGACCTTTATTGCTAGCCTGAATGTTGTAAGAAAATTAAGGGTTAAATGTAAAGGTGGTGAGAGGATGCTGAGTATCACTAAACAACTTTCTTTTCTTTCTCTCATTTTCCCTGTATCCTGAACTTATATATATAAATGAAATACAAATATAAATGCAATAATCAACACTTGTGGGCCCTATTAAGGATTAAGAATGTATTCCATAATTTGGAGGGAATCATAACTTCTTTAGTTTTATATGTGTTTCTACATTGAAAGCAGTGATGTCTGACTCTGAAATCCTAAATTATGTCACTACATATCTGCAAAATGGAACAAAATGTTTAATAATATTTTTAACAGAAACAGTGGGGGTTTTCATTCTGTATATTTAGGAACACATATAAAGGCACTTTCCTGCCCATCCTTAGCACTGATTACTCTATGAAAAATATAAACTGTTAAAGTGTCTTAATCTCAAAAAAAAAAATATCTAGAAGCCAATACCACAGGCAAACCCAAATTATATGCACATTGCCATTAGCCAGATCCCCTTATCTTCATCCTTTTTCCAAGACTGGAAGAATGAATCAGCCTTGTGTGAGCTAGAAGCCAGCACATCAAAATTAATTGAGATAAAATGGGGGAAAATGAATTCCAGGTTAAGGAGACCTTTGGAGAATAGTTAGTGAAGGATTCTTAGTCCCTTAAGGCCACCACACTCTCCTTTAGATAGGCAGAATAGGACATTTAGGGCATTACAGGTCAAAGCTGACTGGCAGAGCTATGCAGATGAGAGAGCACATCTGCTCCCAGCAATGACCTACTTACCAGTCACACAGCTGACTTCTGTATCGAACTTTAGTTTCTGAGCAGTCATAAGCTGTCACTCTGTCATATGTGCCTTGTGTCAGCAAAGTCTTGGATTGTTAATGGCATTAAAGTGATAAAAAGGTTATTTACTAATAGGAAACATCTCACTGTAATACCTGGCATTTCTTTTTATATGAGAAGAATAATAAAGTTATTACTATTAATAAAACCCTTAACCAATCTTTTTACTTCTTCATGTGAAAATCCAGCTGCTTGCCAGGACAAGCTTCCTGTGATGTTTTTGAGCTAGATGATGTCTGCCCCTTGGACTGCCCAAGCCCCTTTACCTTCCAACCAGGCATTCTCCCTTCAAAAGCAGCTGGAGCATACTCGGCAGGGTATACTCCCATGCAGGGCATTGCTTCCAGGTGCAGCATCTGTCTTTCTCCTCCAGTTTCTTTAAAACATCTGCTGATGTATTCCTCACTACAGAGCATTATATTCAAACAAGATTGAAGAGTGGTTACTCTTTTTTCTAGTGACTAGCATCATGTGAAAGGTCTTGAGGAAGTGCAGGGCAGTAGAATGATGGTAAGTAAGCACATAAACCCAAGCTAGAGATGTCTTTCACTAAAGGAGATTTTTATTTAAATTATGCTTCCTACAAATGTCCATCAGGTTGCACCAGCAGGGAAAGAAGCTTGGACTGTGCCTGGCAGACATTAATTTGAGCCTCTGTGTCTGAGGGATGTTTAGAGTTTTATCAGGAAACCCTCCATAAACAACAAATTTTTTGGTTATGGTGTGAGAATCTTTCTCAGTCATTTTCCACAGTCAGGCAAATATCTTGGAGCTGCAGTAATCCAGGGAACAGTGTTTTGTAATGATAATGACCTTCATCTGCTGCAAATGGAAGGTACTTTCCATGACAAGGGTGATCACACTGTTAAAATACATAAGAAAAACAAGTCTTCCCTCTGCGGCAAGAGTGCGATTAGTGCTAAACCAGCCATTCGGCAGCTTGTTGTGACTGGTCTCATTATTTTTTTAGCATCAAAACCCCTTCCTCTGCCCTAAGGACTTGTTTGATTTATGGTCCTTCAGGCTGTGAGGGAAACCATCTTCTGCCATTTGTAATAGAAATGGTCCTAGACTTGGGGGAGCCAGAAGAAACAGAAAGACAGGATCTTTCTAGTCCTTGGCCAAAGCCTTCTCAGAAGGCAAAAGGTGATGGAGAAGGAAATGGGGTTAGAGCTGATGATTGGCTTACATACCTTGAGAGATTATGGCTCAAGCACTATTTTAGTTTTGACAGGGGTAGTGACCAAAGGGCAAATTTCCCTTTCAGAACTTTCAGTTTGGAAATCTTGCCAGTCTCAAACGGTGCCATTCATGGAATGTGTGACTTCACAATCAATTCAGTTAGCTGAATACAGAAATGAAAAAGCCCACAGATATCCTGCATGGCTCAACCTGCCAGTTGAGAAAGGTGTGTGTTTCCCATAGGTCCAGTATCATATCCTGCCACTCCCAGGGGCTTCTGGGGTACCCTTATGATATCTCAAAAGCCACTAAATAGCTGTATCTATGCAGCTGGATTAAGCTCCTTCAATCCATCCCAGACATTAAATAAGAAAATATCTCAGCAAGGGGATTACCAAAGGTATCTTAAGCTTCTTGAACTGTAAGGGAATATACCAGGCTACTAGTTCTTGATCTTAAACAAAATAGAGAGAGAGTACAGTCCGTCTTCTAAAGCCTCTGATTTCTTACATCCTGTGACAGCCTGTTTGTAAGGTCATCTGGGTTTCTCTGAAGCTGTCACACAAATAAATTTGGAGTTAGGTGTGAAAAGGAAAAATAGGATCTGACAAGATGTCAGCTAAGATAGCAGTAGATGTTTGCAGATAAATGGGAGTATTTGCCATACCCAGCAGAGCTGGGAATAACAAAATGAAAACAATTTATAAAAGGGGCACCATCACACCATCTTCTTTCTGTGTCAATGGGATAGAGAAAGAAATGCTTTGATGAGTACTTTGACTGGGAGAAGTGGAAGGATTCTGCAGAAACTTTTAACTCAAAAAGTTGGACGTGTACTGATATTCCTGTACAGGGAAGATAAGCATGAATTTTGAAACTGGTGAATGTGTAAATTCTGTGCCAAGAGAACTAAATGAAAAGCAGAGAAGACCCCTGGCCCAGGAAGAGCACAATTTGTGCTTGCTTTGGTGGTATCATGCAGTACAAGAATGGTGAAATTTATCCTGTTGGTTTTATCTGGAAATTGTAGTTTCTGATGAAAGGAGGAATCAGGACTGAGTGAAGTCTACCCTGTAAGATGGAGTCTCTTTTAGCTCAGAATAGGTAAATCAGGCAAGGTAGACATTTCCTAGGGATATATGCCTTTCTTTGAGATGATAACTAACATCATGTTTGTCAATGGTCTTATGCCACTGCAGGAGTCAGAAACTTGAAACAAGATTCCAAGGGCTCTAGAAAGAAGAGGATTTGGAAAATGATGGCTGGAGAAAAAGGGAGGAATGAGAAAAATAAGGCAACAGCAAGGGAAAAAGAAAACAATGTCTGTAAAGTTCTCAGAGGATGAACAGCTTGTGTATGAGATGCAGAAATTCTCTTGGCTCAATCTTGTGGCACTATTGGCAGGTACAGCATTAGATACCATCTATACTGAGAATGCCATGCACAAATGAAACAGGGGTGATAGCACCTCTCCCTCTAAGATTAATGGTCTCAAAATTAAGCATTTGAATGTTTGCACAGCTGGAATGTGAGCATGTATATATAAATAATCATCAATGGCTGTACCAGACTGTTGTAATGTGATTTTTCCACTAAAACTTCAATGTGCATATATCAAACTTTGAGTGTGTAGTGTTGCTTAGTTAATATTTTAAA